TAAATATCATAATTAGTAATATAATATTACTAAAAATAATTTGATATAAAATTTATCTTAAAAAAATCCTATATTATTTTTTATAAAATTTATAATTATCTTATGTATTATATTAAAATAGTCGTACTATATGAATTAAATATAAAAATATAATAAATGGTAAGTTAACCTATTTATTATCAAAAATATTTTATTAGTATAGTTATTCATAATTTACTGTTTGTGTATTATTTAAAAATTATTCTATTATAAAAATTTTAAACTTTAATAACTCATGTCATAAATTAGTGAAAAAAAAAATTTCAATATAAATTTAATTTAATTTTAATTATTTATGAATCATTTTGAAAATTAAAAAACAAATCTTACCAAATTCAAATATTTTTTAAAAAAATGAATTAATTTAGGAAAATAAATTAAATTTATATAATCTTCCAAACTCAAAAATGATTTGTAACTTTACGATTTTTTCTTAACCATATATACAATTTAGAAAATAAATTTATTGAGGGCCCGTTTATTGAACGCATAACAGTAATATTCCAAATTTTATATAAGATAGGCATTGATGGTAAAATACAATTTTTGAAATGCAATAGCAAAAATAAAATGTGTTGTAAATATATAAAGTAATATAATACTTTAAAATCTTAATTTAATAACAAAAATCAAAAATGCTACATCCAAAAATATCTTATATCAATAAAATTTACTAAAATAATATGATATTTGCTATTACGTATACAACTTACTAAAATATGGATATATTATTTAAACCTAACAATGTATTTACTTATACAATCCCAACAAATACTAAAATGGTAGATGTTAAAGTATACTTTTAAACACAACATGGAAATATAAATTACCTTAACATAGTTCACTTGCCATGATCTCTCAGTCCTAGTCAATGCTTCAGGTTCTCTATCATCAGGCATGCTAGTTGTTGACCAGCATATGCATCCAAATGGAGAGGAAGCTGCTGTGAGTAATCGTTCTGACGGAATCATGACTAAGGGTTTCTTCAGTCTCTTTTTTCGGTTTGTTTGATAACTCAGTTCTAGCACTTCTAAATCTTAAGCAATTGTAGAGTATATATATATTTAACACCTACGTTTGGTGTTGTAAACCCTAGGTCCATGACCAAGGATCAAATGTAAACTTTTACGACCCAATATTTTATAATCGTTAGTAAGCAATATGACGAGTCTTTTTACATAGTTTTATTAAGAGAATAATCAAGAGTAATAGCAAATCTCAAACAGTTTTTTTTTTTTTTACTATGGGTGAGAGTTAACTTGCGCAGCATGAAACTCCACACATTTTGTAACCGCAGTTAGTAACCATTATAGCAGCAAGCAATATCATGAGTTCTTACATAGTATTAACATAATAATCAAGAGCAAGAGCGACATCAAAGAATTTTTTTACTATGGTTGAGGCGCAGCAAGTTCTTCACATTTTCTGTGGCAGATATAGGCAAACCTTCTTGTTCCTAGAAGGTTGCTGATAGTCTGGTAAAGAGGAGCATGGATCTTGTGAAGACTCATCAGTTTCTCCTCCTCCGCGGTAGTCCAAGCCTAAACAATCGAAAACGATCAGATTAAGACACATATATAAGATCAAATCAAATCGGAAATACAATGCTAAACATATATACCTCTTGTGTGAGGTACTCGTACTGATTGTAGCACTGTATAGAGTCGTAACCCTTCTGAAAGCCTACTTTTGAAATACTATTCCAGTTTTGCTTCGTAGATACGGCAAGATAACATGTGTAAGTAAAGCGGTCGAATATGACCAAAAATCTAAAAATAAGAAAAAAATAAAGAAAAGTTAAGAAAAAATTAAAATTTTTTTAAAAATATATAAATAAATTATGATAAAACAATTAAAATGTATAGATACATTACTAAATATAACTTATAATTTTAAAAGAACATCAAACATAGTTATTAACTTTTTAAAAAAAAAATCATTAAATCGTTAAATACATCATTAATATTTTTTTTAACATGATCTAGAAATCATTTGAGAAGGCCCGTTGAATCCACATCAGATTGGTCGGTGAGAACAAGTAAAAGGAAATGGATGCGAAGTATGATTTTTTTCAGTTGCAGAGATGGTGTTTTATATACAGCTTAAAATTTGACCACTAGTCATACTTAAAATCCAACAACTAACCGTCTCTCTTTTATCCCATAGTACTGCAACTCCATCTTCTGCTTTCCCTGAGTTGAATGATTGGTAGAAGTTATCTACATGCTTTAGTTATACACCAAAACAATTCATGTGATTCCTTATAGGGGAATCATAATTTTATTGTTAATTTATAGGGGGAAATATACTTAACTAGAGACTTTATAGTTTGTTTGCTTCTGTTAAGCCATAGATTTACTTTTGTATTTTTTTTTCCTTTTTTCACATGATTAACTTTATGAAGTCCTTAATGTTATATTCTTTTTCTGTGTCTTATCACCACAAGTTTCGTGCAGAGTTTGATACTGAAAGAAGACATCATATCAAGAAACAAAATTTAATTACGAAATATAGAAAATCAAACAAGAAAATGTTTTACCAATGAGGCATCCAAATCTGTCAGTTTCCAGAAGATATCTTAGTAGTATGCAGTAACTGTAGATGAAAATGACGCTCTTATACGGATTCGCAAATGTCATTTAACTCATTATACATTCACTGCAAGTATAAAACATACGAATACGCATGAAGCTTGACAAAAGTATTAACTATGAGATGTGGGACCGTGACGCTAATTCGTCTCTTTATTGTGACTATTTTGTTAAATGTTCTTCAAATTTGTTTTATTGTTGGGTTAAAGCCCGGTTGGTATTACTATTAAATGCTTACGCGTAAATTTAACGCGTTACGTGTGGAACATTTCTTATATTAACAAAAATCATCCTTCTCTTATTCAAGCCGATAGTTCGCTCCATGCATTTGCAAGAGAGTTAAGAGAGTGAGCTGTAACTAACTACTTTCATTGCGGTATTCATTTCTTTCAACATTTTTTTGCATTAATTTTTTCAGTTCAATTATTAATAGAAAGCACACGTCTGTCTTTGATTCTTTAATGTTTGCATGTTCACAATTTATTTCATCAGCTTTTTCTGCTTTTAAGTTTTTTTTTCTACTGACAACAATATCCTTGTGAGCTAAAAAAATTTGACAATTAACCAATTAATATACCTTGTTTATATATATATATTCAACAAATTCTTTTTTTTTTTTTTGGACAAATATTCAACAAATTCTTATAATTTTGATTTTGGAAAAGAATGAATAGGACTTGATTTTGAATGGAACAACACGTACACTGTCAAAATTGATAAATCAAATTCGTCTCCCGTATCTTCTGTAGATCCAAATTAGCATCGCTTCTAATTTTTCTTGGGTTTATACATGCGGACGAGGCCTATCTACAAGGATATTAGCAATTCTTTTCGAATACCTTTACTATATGATCTTATAATTCTTATTTGAGAACTTTGTAATTTGTTCGAGGCATATCAATGAAGAAAAATAAAATAAAAGTACTTCATAAAGACCTGAGTATAGGAGAGTTACAACAACGAGAAAGAAAGAAACCAGTAATGTTGACAGAAAAAAAAAAAAACAATAATCTTTGGATATATAACAAACACATTTCAGACAAGATATTGAATCCGGTTTAGGTTTTTATACCAAAGTCCGAAAAGAACAAGAAAACCTTGCTTGCTTGCCTGCAACTCTCACGCCTTGGCTTTGGCTTCATATTCATGTGGAGGCTGCAATAAAAGATACACTCAAATCAGTAAAACCCGAAACAGAAGAAAGCAACAACAGAGACTCAGAAGAGAGAAACACTGATCTATCTTACCAAGAAAGTTGCAGATATCATCTTTTGTGCAAACCATCTCATGTGCATCGCTCTTTGAGCTGCCATTGCCGCCTGCACCGAGTCAAACCTCAGATACACAAAACCTGCGCTGTTCCTGCATTTCGCCCAGATTCAGATCAATGTCACATAATATCTATATAAACATAAAAAAGCTAAAACTATACAATTGAAACTCATGGGATGATACTTACTTGTCTACATAAATATGCTTGACTTCGCCATACTTGGAGCATTCATCGTGAACGTCTTCTCTAATTTCTTCATCAAACCCCAGTTCCGTCTGCAAAAAAAAAGTGATATTTTAATGTTAATATAACTTGCACAAAAGAGCCAGCAGCACTTTTACATAATTTCTGAGCCTCTGAGACCTTTGTTTTCAACACCCCTCTCAAGTGAAGAAAATAAGAAGCAAGAACCAACCTCGGTTGCAGGATCAAACATATTCTTCAGTAGAAGACATTCACTTGGCTGACCAATAGGCTCTGTGACAACAGAAGGGATTGCTGTTGTTGGAAGCACTGATGTGGGGAAACCAGGATTCATGCCTGGTTGATTCATAGCTGTTCCATTTAGCGCTGGTACTCCAATACTGTGCACAGATTACTTATATGTTATACGAGAAACGGATAACATTATAAACGAGTAAAAAAAGAGATGTATAAAAGAGAGAGATACCTTGCTGTGAGACCTGTACGATCCAGTTTCTGCATAAGTAGAACCCTCGATTGTGCATTTAGAGCCTGTGAGAGAAATTAGTTAAAGAACAAGTAGAAAAGAGACAAATGGTACAAGGAAAAGGTTATCTAGCGTACCAGTCCACCTCCATCATCATCATCAAAATCAGCAGATTTTGGATTACCGTCTTGTGTGCCAATATGATCAGCGACAGAGGAAACCTACACCGCAGTGAAAGAACATTAAATACATGCAAGTTCAACAACTCATCTTAACCACAAAGGAGTTCAAGACTCACCTTGATTGTCCTTCCAGCAATCTCCAACTTTCCGTTTAAGGCTATTTGTGCTGCCTTTGAATGTTCAACTTGCGCAAACTAATAAGGAAGGAAAATCAGTATGAGTGATGAATCATGATGAAAAAGAGGACCAAATCATTTGAAAACAAGTTCTACAAACCTGGATAAACCCAAAACCCTTGCACTGCCCAGTTTCAAGGTCACATGGAAGCTGGACAAGCTCAACAGGACCAAACGGCTCGAAAATCTGACAACAGGAAAAAAAAAATTAGAGGAAAATTTTAAATTTACAAAGGTTCACAAACACCTGCTGGTCTGTTCACAAGTAATAAAGCTTCTCAAGAAGCCATATATCTTAAGAAACAACTGTTAAGGAGAGTAGATATCAATGAAAATACCTGTCTAAGCTGCAACTCTGTCATGTTGAAATGCAAGTTCCCCACATAGAGCTTCCTATCAACAGGGCCAGTACCACCGCCTGTAGTAGTATTGGACTGGGCTAGATTCTTTTCAGCTTCAGAGGGTTTAACCATGACAGGTTGTCCAAGAAATAGCTGTCCAGACAAAGCTATGGCCATTGGAACTGACATAACATCATAAAACTCGATATACCTGCAAGTCAAAAGAGAAAAATAACTTTAGAGTACACATAGGAGACTAATATCAGAACAGAACTTACAAAACATGTAGCAAAGAGAAGTTGGGAACAAAAAACTTTAGTGCGAGAGTTCAAGCTGAGTCTCTTTTCGTGGGTTGGAGGCCTAGATTAATAAAAAATGTTAGCCCATCATGATAAATTGACAAGGATAAGCAAGGAAAGAAAAAAAAACAAGAGTGATAAGCTAATGGATAATCTCCTTCCTGACAGGGCTTGCAATGGGAAGTAACCACTAAAACATGATTCAGGTTTTCTGACATCTACCTCGAGCATGCAGGATATTGAGATTAAACAAGAGTTCAAGGTACTGCCATCATCCTCATCATTATCGCATAGATAGTGCATCTAAGAATACAGTTAAACCGAGTTCTTGAAATTGCATAAAGAAACTGAATATGCAGAATATTACTAACCAAGTGCACATACACAAAACTTAGTTTAATAGAAGCTGAAAGAAAAAAAAAACATACCCAACTCCTTTGGATCGTCTTGAGTTTCTATCCATGATCAATCGCACATCCCTGACCTGAAATCATAAGGAAAGAGAGAAAAATAAGAACACACCTTGTTCATGGCCTAAGCTAACTACTACAGGAAAGAAAGGCACAAAGTAAAACTGACCTTGCCCGCTTTGGAGAAGAACTCATAAACATCTCTCTCAGTAGCTTTAAGAGGCATCTGTAAATTACAAAGCCAACTTAATCAGTAAAACTTAAACTCAGATCATCACTAAACAAAAATTTAACAATCTACCTGATACGCAAAGACAGTTCTTTGGTCTCTCTCAGGATCTGCTTCAGGCTCATCTTTCTTGTCTCTGTGTCTCCTGATCAATCGTCAAAACATTTAATCAGCACATTGGTTATAAACTAGATAAAGAAAGGAACAGAATCTAACAAACCTGCTTCCTCTTTCAACTACTTCACGCTCCCTCTCTTCCCTCCGTGACCTACTACTGCTTCTCCTCTCCCTCTCCCTCCTCTCTCTATCCTTCTCCCTCTCTCTCCTCTCTCTGTCTCGGCTCTTCTCCCTATCGCTCCTCTCTCTATCTTTGCTACTCCTCTCTCTGTCTCGGCTCCTCTCCCTCTCTCTATCTTTGGATCCTCCCCTAATCTCATCCCTATCTCTATCCTTATCTCGGCTGCTCCTATGCCTCTCTTTCTCCCGATCTTTCTTAGCGTTCTCTTCTTCGTCTCCTCGAGACTTCTTACTCCGACTGCTCCCTCTCTCTTCCTCTTCGTCGCGCCTCTCTCCTTCTCGCTTCCTGTAACTCCTCTCGCTCCCTTCCTTCTTCTTATCCGATGCATCTCCTTCCTCCACCGTTTTCTCCAGGTACTCGTACTCGTCGAACTCCATTCTCTTCAATTAGGGTTCTTGTTAGGGTTTCGAATTGAATTGAATTGAATTTTTGCTCAGCCTTGTTCGATTGATATCTAGAAGATTTCGTAAATTCAAGTCAGTTGCGAGGTTATAAACGGTATTTCACTAAAGTTAACCAGCAAGTTGAATTATGGGTTGACTGCATATTCCCCCCCCCTAAATATACTAACCCTACTTATTCCCCCCTAAACTATCAAGCTCTTCATAATCCCACCCAATTTTATACTTCCTCTTTAAATATCCCCCTAAACTTTTTTAATCCCCCTTTCAAATCAATTTCCAAATCATGATTAATAAAATTAAAAAAGCGTTTAGAAAACTGATTGCCCGATTAAATAAAACAGATCCGACCCATAATAATAAAAAAAAAATCCAATTTAATTAGAAACCTAATTAAAATTATAATTTAATTAGGGCTTTTTCATGTTTCTTCGACAGAAAACGACGACACAAAAAAGATGACTAGAGGGAGAGAGAGATGATGAGAGAGAGAGAGATAACGAGAGAGAGATGACGAGAGGGAGAGAGAGAGATGACGAGAGAGAGAGAGATATGACGAGAGGGAGAGAGAGAGAGATGACAGGGAACGTAGAGAGAGGGAGAGAGAGATGACAGGGAACGTAGAGAGAGGGAGAGAGAGAGAGATGACAGGGAACATAGAGAGAGGGAGAGAGAGAGAGACCGGGGAACAGAGAAGAGAGAGACAAAAACAAAGATGATAGAGAGAAAGAGAGAGACAGGATTGAGAGAAACTAATGCTGAGGAGAGAGAGACATTGAGGAATGATGAAGGGGCTGTGGTTGTTGGGTATGGATAATTTTTAAACTTGTTTAACTTGGATTTCGTATTTGTTTATGTCTGGGTTGAGTTTGATTTTTTTTTTTTACAGAGATGATGATACAGAGGACGAGAAAGACATGCTGTATGGAAAACTAGATAAGATGGATGAAGCTGAGGATACTCTTGGTCGATTTGAGTATGAGATAGAGGAATCAGTAGCTGATTTTGAGGATGAGATTCCAACTGAGAGAAACGAGATTCCAGAGAGTTCAGATGACTCTTCTGAGGATGAGATTGATGTGCGTGAGGAGAGAATGAAAAGAAGAAGTGATGATAAATTAGCTTTGGGGAGTAGCTACTACACTTTGTATGAGTTTAAAGAGGTTGTCTTAGAGTATGCTTTGAGCAAGAGAAGAAACATTAAACAAGATAGGTGGGATAAGACAAAAGTCTCATATGTGTGTGGCATTGGTGGGAAGTGTAAATGGCGGATTTTTTGTGACTTTTGTTGTTTTTTAAAACTCTAAATAAAGTTCTTTTAAACTTTAAGTTAAATTTACTTTTGTGTCTTTTGTTGTTCTTCGAAACTCTAAAATAATGTATTTTGTGTCTTTTGTTGTCGATTTTTTCATGTTGTAATACAACCTCATCTCACAGAATTTAAATGAGAGCAGAGAGTGAACAACAAAAGATAGATTAATATCCACAAAAATAACTATAAAAGACAGATTCATGTTCCACATAACTCAAAAACATCTTACACAAAGAGACAAACAAACTACTCTATTCTCAGTTTCTGCAGCAGAGAGTGGAGGCGAGGCTGGCTGCGCTTTTGATGGAGAACAAGGAGTATGTTGAAGCTTTGGCACTGTTGAGTGGTTTGGTGAAAGAGGTTAGGAGGTTAGATGATAAGCTTCTTTTGGTTGATATAGACTTGTTGGAGAGTAAGCTTCACTTCTCGCTGAGAAACTTACCAAAGGCGAAAGCTGCACTCACTGCAGCTAGGACGACTGCAAATGCTATATATGTTCCACCTACCTGCGCAGCAAGGGACTATTGATCTGCAGAGTGGGATTCTTCACGCTGAAGAAAAGGATTACAAAACAGGTTACAGCTACTTCTTTGAATCGTTTGAGTCTTTCAACGCTCTTGAACCGTTTTCAGTTTGAAGTACATGTTGTTGTGTAAGATCATGGTTAGCCAAGCTAATGATGTTGCGGGGATAATTTCTTCAAAGGCTGGACTACAATACGTTGGGCCTGATCTAGATGCTATGAAGGCGGTTGCTGATACGCTAAGAGGTCTTTGAAACTGTTTGAGAACGCTTACGTGACTACAAGGCACAGTTAGAGGATGACCCAATTGTTCACAAGCATCTCTCTTCTCTCTCCCTCTCTCTACGTTCCCTGTCATCTCTCTCTCTCTCTCTCTCTCTCTCTCTCTCTCTCTCTCTCCCTCTCGTCATCTCTCTCTCTCCCTCTCGTCATCTCTGGTCATCTCTCTCGTCATCTCTCTCTCTCTCTCGTCATCTCTCTCTCCCTCTCGTCATCTCTATCTAGTCATCTCTCTCTCCCTCTCGTCATCTCTCTCTGGTCATCTCTTTCTCTCTATCATCTTTGTTTTTGTCTCTCTCTTCTCTGTTCCCCGGTCTCTCTCTCTTCTCTCTCCCTCTCTCTACGTTCCCTGTCATCTCTCTCTCTCTCCCTCTCGTCATATCTCTCTCTCTCTCGTCATCTCTCTCTCTCCCTCTCGTCATCTCTCTGTCGTCATCTCTCTCTCTCTCTCATCATCTCTCTCTCTCTCCCTCTAGTCATCTTTTCCGTGTCGTCGTTTTTTGTCGAAGAAGACATGAAAAAAAACCCCAATTAAATTCTAATTCTAATTAGATTTCTAATTAAATTGGATTGTTTTTTTTTTATTATTATGGGTTGGATCTGGGCAATCAGTTTTCTAAACGCTTTTTTAATTTTATTAATCACGTTTTGAAAATTGATTTGAAAGGGGGATTAAAAAAGTTTAGGGGGATATTTAAAGAGGAAGTATATAATTGGGTGGGATTATGAAGAGCTTGATAGTTTAGGGGGGAATAAGTAGGGTTAGTATATTTAAGGGGGGAAATATGCAGCCAACCCTTGAATTATAAACGCCTTTTTTCATGAGTCCTGAGAGTTTAGTAGACCCGGGAACGTTTAATGATAGGCCCAAAAATCATAAGCCTTATAAATAGTTCGAGAGTTTAAGTATGTACAGTGTTACTTTTAGATTTATAAACGATTTTTTTCTTAATTTTGAAACTATAAAACATTTTTTTTCTAAAACTTAATGAAGACTAGATTTTGACCCGCGCTTCGAAAGCGCGGGTTTTTCTTTGGATCATAAACAAAATTATTTTTATGTCACAAAGTCATTATATCAAAGAAGAGTCCTTGTTAAAATTATATAAGTTAAGAATTATATAAAATTTTATATGTACATTCTTATATAACTCTTTTTAGGTCTTGACATTTTACCGGATCCATAAAACCAA